AGCTTGGCCCAAACTGGTTTTATTTCTGTTGTACCTCGGAAGTGAGCTGGGAGCTTCATCAGCAGAGGCAAAGCTACTCGTGTCACCAGCCCTCATTCCTCATGTATGAGGTGACCCTTCCCCCAGGAGATGGACTTGATGATCCCAATGGTTTCCTTCCAACTCAGTATTCTATGATTTTGAACACTGATTTAATCCTTTCACTTCCAGGAACTGCAGATGAGAAGCGAAGGGCTTTAGGAACAGGCAGAATATCCAGCAGCATAAAAGCAGTTCAGGAAAAACAGGTCATGCCATAAAAGGTATTTTTATCAGGAATTGCACGTTTCAGAGCAGGGTTATTCCCCACCACACTCCCATGTAGGAGTACACCCTATCCAGGGTTTACCAGAGAAGTGCAGCAAGGTGTTTACTCTGCAAGCTCCAAGGATTTGAGCAAGGCATGAGCTGGTTGCTCCCTCCGATGGAAAGAGGAGGGTTTGCATTTTGCACCAGTAAATACTCTTAAAATAGTGATGATTATTATTCTTGGTTCACGCAGCAGCAGTGGCTTTGCCACCTCCTGCCCGAGCCAGGCAGGAGGGAAAGGCCACAGGACCATCCTCTAATCTTTCAGCCCTCAGCTCCTGTCACAGGATGAAGGAAACACCTACAGCTTCTGTGTTACTGGGAACTGGAATGTGATGCTCAGAATCCCTTGAATCTGAACACAGAGCTTGTTTTTAAGGTATACAGGAGGTTGCTGGAGGACTGACACCCACTGTGCAGAACAGTGTAGAGTCAGCCACAGCCTTCCCTGTCACTACCCATTTCCATCAGCAGAAGTTGCCTGTGGGGTGCAAATGCTCAAGGAGGAGATACCTGGCAGGCAGAGGTAACCACTGAGCTACCAGCATTCCTGAACTCCTGCAGCTCCAGCCCTCTGGGCACCCTTGCTGGCAGCACAGCTGCCAAAATCAGTTCTCACCTCATCACCCTTCCAGTTCAACTCCAACACTCAAACTCAACAAGCACAGATGGTACTTCTGGAGAGAGAAGTTTATTCATACACCATATCACATATATCCAACACGAGCAGCAAACCAGTGAACCCACATTAGCTCATTCTGCTTTTATTGTTCCTTCTTCCATTTTGTGCTAAATTAATCTGCGGCTGTTTGTTAAGTTGTATCACATCAGACACAGCTATGGCAGGATGAGTGTGAATATATGAACTAACAAGATATCAGACAGCTTTAAACTTTATTATTGAAGCTTTTTTTTTTTCATTCATAGGTCAGTTCTTGAAAGATGGTCTTCAGCAGCCTTGTCCTGCAGGCTTAGGCCAAACCTGCAAGGTAAGGAGTTATGTCAGTAAGTTTTGGATCCCTGAATGGCAGCTGGTTTTCCTTGCCATAAAGCAGATTTGCTAGGATGTTCCCCCTTCCCCTCATCCATTTGCTGGGACACGATGAACTGCAGACACCAGCAGAGCACCCTGGTGTGCAGCATCCCCACCCTCCCAGGTCAGGATGGTTTGGCTGTTGTCCTTCCTGCAGGCTCACAGTGCCCTGCTGATTCTCCAAGTGTGCTGCTGCCACTCTCCCGGTCAGCTTCAATCCATGCACCAGCACAAAACTTCAGGAATTCACCCCCTCTCCACCCCATCACCTCCAGCTACATGTACAGGACCAAAGCAGGAAACCCAACAGAACTGCAGCTGCTTTACCTGACTTTGGTGCACCTGCCATCACTCCCCATTCCTCACCAGACAGATCAAAACCCCAGGATGTCATTCCCACAATAATTCTACTGATTAGCCCATTTAGTAGTTTACTGTCAGCACTGTCTACTTACCATTAGCAAACCTGCACTGCTTCAGCACCTCGCTGAAGCCCTCGCACAGCTTGAGGTCAGTCTGGTTCTGTGCACACTCCAGGAATTGTTTGATCTCGTACTGGCAAGGACCAGCCTGCTGCTGCTGCTGGGCAGCCTGAGCTGCCTGGGGCTCCTGAAACAGCACACAACCCTGTAAGGGCCCTTCCAACAGCTCCAGCTCAAAGGCAAACCACCCCCGTGCTGCTGGCTGAGGTTTCTTCCCTGTGTTTTAGTGAAAATGTTGCTTTTTAAATGGAAAAAAATATAATGGGCTGAAGTACAAAGTAAGTTTCCAGCAGTGGCATGACACATTCAGAGTAGTTTTTTAAGTGAGAAACACTTGGGTGATTTTGGATATGCTCAGGTAACTCTGAATGGCATCTGGGCAAAAAAATGTCTGAGCAGCACAAAAAGGTCTTGCAATAGATCTTACCATCATCAGACCTGGAACATGGAAGTCCTGCCTGAATAAGGGGAACACTACAGTAGAAAACAACACCCTGCCACAAGCACACATCACTCGTGCATCCTTCTGAGCTACTTTTAAGATACTCGTGGTGAGTGTGGTGGTGACCTTGGAGATTCAATCTAACTACAGACTATATATGATTATATATATAGTCTATATACAGAGAGATTATAATTGTATACCCTAGCTGTGACTTGTGAGGTGTTTTATGTCACTAGCAACTACCTCAGCCCGTAGGCTGATCTGTCAAGGCACTAGTAGTGTCCTGCTGTGCTTTCCCTCACCTGGTAAGTGATATCAGGCCGAGCAGCCTCGTGGCCACTCCCTCCACTGAACCCTCCGGTGATGGCGTGGCCGATGGTGTGTCCCACGGCCGAGCCCACGGCGACCCCGGCGGCGGTCGAGGCCATCTGGGCCATCAGCCCTGGCTGCCTCGGCGCCGGAGCCGCCACGGCAGAAGGCGGAGCCGCGGCCGGGACCTGGGCCCGAGGAGCCGGCGCTGGGGACGCGGCTCTCATCGGCGGGGCCCGGCTGCGATGAGAGAGAGAGAAACCTCATATCACTATCATCATCATCATTCCAAACCGCTCCGGGCAGAGCCCACGTGGCTGCAGGGCCAGGAGGTCACTGTCCCTCCGGAAGAGTCACAGAGTTACACCCCGAGGGCAGGAACTCGGTGTTCTGGTGAGCGACTTATGCAAGACAGGGTCATATTTACAGGCTTCTTTCTGGCTGTTTTAAAGCCTCGCCGTCCCCCCACTCCACAAAGGACTGCAAAATCTTGCGAAAAAAAAATGAGGTATGACCCAAATGGGGTTGATTAACCCTTGAGGGTTAATAAGGCCTTCAAAGTCCAGACGGGGGATGGCCAGGCCTTGTGGCCAAGCAGACCCACTTCCACCCCCCCAACAAGCACCCAGTCCCGCTCCCCCAGAGCCACTGCAGCTCCAACCCGCCGGGCCGCAGCGGCCTGTCCGCCATTGCACTGCGGCCGCTGCGGCCTGCGCGGGGCCCCCAGGAAGGAGAGGGGACGGAGAGAGGAGGAGGCGGCCCGGGTGTCCCTCACCTGGCGGGGGGCGGCACCCGGGACGTGCGGCTGCGGCTGCCCCTGGGCATGGCGGCGGGGAGCAGAGCAGGAGCCGGAGCTAGAGCGAAGGGAACTAGGAAGACAGAAAAAACGCGGCCTGTCCCAACACCCGCCCGCCTCCTCTGAAGGTCACCGCGTGCGCGTCACTTCCGCGTCCGCGCGGGTGGGTGGGCGGGGCCTTGCAGAGGCCACGCCCCCTCCGCTCGCCTGAGGGGACGCGCGGGAACCGCCGCGAGGGGCCGCGATGGCGGCGGAGTCTGGGGTGAAAATAGACACGTAAAGGGCGATAAACCCGCGCCTGCGGGACCCTCAGGGCAAAATAAACACATAAACGGCGATAAACCCGCGCCTGCGGGACACTCGGTTCAAAATGAACACATGGACTGCGGTTTAAACCCGCGCCGGCGGGACCCACAGTCGCAATAAATACCTAAGCTACGGTTAAACGTGTTCCAGCCCTCAGGGAATCGTTCTCTGTGGAGAAGGAACCCCCCCAAAAGCCCTTCAGAATTCAGCCCTTCGGTAGAATTGAAGGTGTTGGATTTTAGCCCAGAGAAGACTGAGGGGATCTCATTTATTATAGGTATATATAAATGTATATACACAAATATGTATATATAAAAATATGTATGTATACATGTATATATATGCATATATTTATATAAATATGCATATATATGTGTATGTATATATGTGTATATGCATATATATAAAATATATCTATATGTGTATATATGTATCTAAATGTATATATGTATATACGTATCTAAATATATATATTTTTATATATTGAATTATTTTATATATTTATTTTTAATATATATAATAAATAATTGTTATATATAATTTTTATATATATTTATTTTTATATATATATATGGTACATGTATGATATACATATATGAGATATATGAGCTGCCCCCTCAGCTCCATGCACAAGGTCATCTGCATGAGCTGACTCTCCCTGCTTTAGAGTCACTGTCTACTTGGAGAAATGTATTTTTTAATCAATTTATTCATTACTGTATTAATTATTTTTATAGACAGCAGCAATTAGAAGGGATACGTCATGACAGCGCCACAGTCACCAGCCGTGATAATTCATGACAAAAAAATTGCTTGTTCACAGTTTCTTCAGTTGTAAAGGAGGGAGCTGTGTAAGATTAGTCATTTCAACATCTTGTATGTCTGGGGATGTAACTCTTGTCTGATGAAGGAAGCATTAAATTGTGAGTTTATGTAGTGGTAATCCAGAAGCACAGTTAAGAAAACCAGTTGTTAATGTCAAAATTATTAGGAGATAAATATAAATAACATTTCATGTTCTCCTCTGTACGTCATCTCCGATCCTTTCCCATTGTCCCTCTCCCCTTGTTCCCATTGACAGCAAATCGTGGCACAGAGAGCGGGAGATTTATAATTTCGTTTATACTTTTTCCAGTGTTCAAACAACTCATTTCTTAATGAGTGGTTTTCTCAACTCTTTTTAATTAATGGTTTTCAACTCCCTTTTTTT